TCCCTACAGTTTATTTTTGTATGTTACTAGCATCTATTCTTAGGTACCTCTGAAGATTTTAAAATCAAAACCTAATTTTCCTTGTCATGCTATACATTTCCAACTCATTTCGTCCTTCTTAATTCTGTGACAAGAATAAGAGCAGGTGAAGAGTAATAACACTGAAGCTCTTTAGCATGTAGTTTTTATTATTGCCACTCCTGGCACCACCCATTCTGCAGATGGGGGCAACGGCAGTCACGCTTGGACCTCAACGTGGTAGCATACCTGGATGAGCTCACAGCCATCCCAGGCTAGACATACCAGCCATTACAGAGCTCTTGAACTGCTGGGGAATAACAGTAAACACGGACGAGTCAGTCCTAATTCCAAAATACCAGCTCCAGTATGTGGACCTCCACATCAACACACAAAAAGGAACAATGACTCCCACACCACAAGCCTTGGAGTAACTCTGCACCATTCTGAAGGCTACACCCCCCAAGGGCTCCAACTGGCAATGGCTCAGGCACGATACATGACCGTAGGCACCTGCTCAGCAAAGACGTACCAGTTCCAATAACCTCTTGATCATAGCGTGGCTGGCCATCAGCATATGTAAAGTTATACTGCTCTTGACACCACAATCAAATGCTCCATGCACTGAGCAGAGACATTCTAGCAAGACAGCCCTACCCCACATCCAGTGATGCTAGCGCGGGGTTTGTAGACTAACTTCCATCACTGCTGCAGTTTACTAATTTCTTTATTTCCTTGTAAGGGAATGCAGTGCGGGAAAGGAGAAAAGCAAAATATTATACTGCACGGGTAACACCACTGGACATCATGGCGAGTGCTTAATGCTGAATGCATCACAATAAAATAACAATTACAGATCTTAAATTGCCCTGAAGGCAGTGACATTACAGTGCAAAGTGCAGCCAACTTACTGGGGTGACTGATCTTGCAAGCCGCGGAGTGGGTTTTGGCGTGGTAGGTCTGTCACGGTCAGATCCTCCTAGCGACGTCTCACTTCCTAAGCTAGGGGTTGGACTGTGGTGAGGGAGGGACGACTGGTTGCTGATCACAGTCTTAGGGGTGGTCGTAGTCGAGTTTGAGTCCGATTCGCCGCCAGGGCTCGTTGCCTCCTCCTTGTCCTTGACAGGAAACGCAACAACAACGAGCTCAGGGGTGCAAGGCATATTGTAGGTGCGAAGGTATGAAGTAAACCATAATATACCATATGGGACAGCATTATCAAACTATCAGAAGCCATAAAGCTTTCCATTATTTTAACATATTCAAGAAAATTACAGCATTCTGTCTCAATGTCAGTTACAGCTTTCATTGTCTTAGTCAATGAAGTATATTTTCTCCAATTACCACAGAACCTTCACAGGTCAGATTATATGTTATGAGAAATTAAACTGCGTACTTATATTATACTGCGTGCTTTATGACCTCTCGTCAGTCCTTCAAGAGCTTACACCAGAGGCCATTTTCACATTAAAGGTTTGTATGAACATGCATTAAATTCTGTATACTCACAGAGCTATAGCTATTCAAAGTTGAAGAATGTTTTACACATAATTAAAAGGTGGTTATCAACATTTTGAGAAACATATTTCCTCCATCTCTGGGATGAAGAGTGTCAGGATCAAAATGTGAGACATTTGTACAGAGAGTGCGCACAAAATGCACGTGACTTCACTGTAACTCTTGGATCAAAAGGCAGAGGAATGACAACTAAATGCATCTATGCCATTTAAGTTTCCACATCTTTCTCCTGACGCACTACGCTCACAGTTGTTAAAATGGTGTCTCAAGTACAAGAAGCTAAATGTATGCTGTGGTTTCATGAGTCTAAATCTGCAATTAATTTCAGCAGCATTCCAAACAAAGCATTCAGAACCAGCCCATAATGTTGGCCCAACTTTTACAAACTCAGGTTCCGGGCCAAAGTTGAACTGATACTGACAATTTCAAAATTCAAACAGACAAACTGGATAAAAGTAATGTTATACACCAAAACAAATAAATATAAAGTGTTTAAGCAACAAAAACCTGAGTGCTATAGACAGTAATTGTAGCAGCAGAGTCTCTCTGCATGTAAAATATTTCCAGAAGTGACAGTGATAACAAACACTCTATGTGCAAGTAGAATGGAGACCTTGCACAATGTTACAAAGTAATGTCATGAAACATTAATGAAAGTTTATTTAGGAACCACTCTAACCTAAAATATGGACTAAACTGTTCATCAGTAAATTAACTATACACTAAGTTGCTTTGAGTGTGTGTCTGTTATGAATGATACTAGTGGTTTTGCCTCTTTCATTTCACAGAGCATCACAGGTTTTCCTTCAACTAAAATGAGAGTTAACAGCAAAATTATACAAGCATTTTACATACCACTGCCTCTGTCCGCATCAGCAGCGGACTAACATCTGGAATATCCCCTCTCAGTCGAGCTGCAAACTCAAGTTCGGAGTCTCTGTTAAAACTTGGTGAACTCAAGTCACTGTGGCTCGATGAGGTTGAATGCGGGGACTCCGGGTGGCCGGCGGCAGCAGCTCTATCTTCCTCAGCTTCTGTCCCTGGGAACTGCAGCACTGATGGGGGGTGATACACGGAACGGAGGTCAAGTCCACTTGAGAGGATGGTAGGCTGTGAGGCGAGCACCTCTGTGGTGTATTCTTGGTGGGCTGCAGCACTTTGAAAACCTACAAGACAGTCAGAGGAATGATCACAAGGCTTTATTTACTCTGCCAGAAATTACTGTTCTTCACAAAACTAAAAAATGTTATCAAAACCCAAGAACTAAAATCAGAGTCTATTGGAGTCCAGTTACCACACAATTATAGACAACCTAACCTAACATTGCCTGTCTACTGTGATTCAGTGCATGTTTCAGTCCAATACTCGTCTGACTCGGCCAAATTTAAATATTTGTAATGGACCTTAGACTTGGTTCTCTGTTAAAGACTCCAATATTCCAGGACAGTTTTAAAAATCAAAGAAAAATAAATAAGACAGCAAAACAAGGCAGTACAAAACTCACTGGGGGACAGGTCTGAAGACACCATCTCAGATACAAAGTCGCTGAGTGATGAATACGATGAGCTGGTGCTCTCAGCTCCTTCTGAGTCGGAGCCGCTCTCATCTGCCGACACAGGCAAATCACAATCATCAGACAATGTCACTTCAGGAAACTAAGAAACTTGTAAAGCACAAGAAGGAAAACAAAAATTTAAAAGTACAGTACATTCCACTATTCTGAATGACTAGAACTTGGTCTAATGGCTAGTGTGAAAACATAGGAATCAAAAGATCCTAGGTTTGATCCAAACAGCTGTCACTAAGAAAATTAAAAATATATATATATATATATATGCTACTATAGTGGCAACAAAATTACCTGAGGGCACGAATATAGCCAACTCTTGAAACATCATGTATATGAAGTGTGCCTCAGACACTAGACAATGTTCAACACAGTTAATCATTATCACAAACCTTTAGAGGATAACAGGAATTTATTAATCCTCTGTAACTCCATGATATCAACATCTTCAGCTGACAAAGCAATCAGAAAATGAAAAGTACAGGAAACTAAAATTTGGGCCAATTTTGCAGGAATATATAAATTTACACTGCCAAAGACTTGGCTAAACAATAAATAAATATTTCATACCTTATCAGTAGAAAAATTCATACTATGGCAAGTTACATTAATTTGTAAAATTTCATCATCAAACTAATGTATTTTATTTTTATTTATTTATTTATTTACAAGTTCCAAGAATCCAATAGTGGATATAGAACACGTCACAAACTCAAGTATAAAAACATAAAATACATACATATATGTAAAATTTCATCATCAAACTAATGTATACACTCTGCATACTTGTTACATTGTTTTTACCACCTTCCTGAAAACTTACCATTATAAAATGTACATGTTTTCCAGAGGTATAAGAAGATACTAGACTGAATGGCACTAGTATTGTATACTCAACCTGTAAGTTGCCAAAGGCACCTTGTTGATATTAAAAGGAGCATTCTGTTTATGTCATCAAAACATTTTTTATTACAGTGGATAATATTTAAGACTTTTCCTTCTGGAACTGCAGAGAAGGGATTAGCAATTAATTACTTTAACTCAGGGCCCATAAAAGTCTGCTTCAAAGTAATGATCAGTGAAGATTTTAGCGAGAAAAATGTATTCTCACTGCCTAAACACACAACATTAGGCATACCAAAAAGCACATGAAAGTAAACTAACTCCTAAAGATGTTAACCCATAAGCATGAGGTGCAGTCAGATGCGTACCACACCAAACTGTGGAGTTAACATGCATATGTGCCTCCATCTTGCATACAGTCTTTCAAGAACATTCAATCTCCATAGCCTTCAAGAAAAGTGACAGGGTTTTTGTTTAGTATGTGTGTCAACCAGATCTATAATTTTTTTTAAGAGTAACCATTTATGGAAAATCTGTTTATTTTAAACGGCATGGATTGTAATGTGAACGCACACAGGCATCTAAATTATCCTTCCTACAAATGCAGTAGGTTCATACATATATTTATTCTTCAAGTCTATACACAAACTATATTAATATTGATGTTAAAAATTAAAATTATATTTCGCGCTATTCATCGTTTCCTCAATGTTACAATTTGCGCTATATATTACAACATGTTTCGATGTCTCAGCATCATCTTCAGGTTTTATTTTTAAAACTATTAAATATTTTTTAATGCACGCTTTTCAGTATTTGTAGATTGTAGGTTGTAGTTGTGGATGTTCCTTTTATCTTCTGATTGTTTTGCATATTATGTGGCGTATTATGTTATTTGTTCATTATTTCAGGAGTTTGATGTGTCGTGTGTCCTCGGCTGGTCAGGTCTGATCAATTTTAATTTTTAACATCAATATTAAAATGGTTTGTGTATAGACTTGAAGAATAAATATATGTATGAATATGTTATATTTGTGTTGTGCTGATTTCTATTGACCTTTGGCATTTTTTCATCCATTGTTTCTGCCTACACTTATTATTGTGTTCAATTCCCATCTGTACGTGAGTGTTAATTTATTCTATGTAAAAGCATGCTTCTTAATGCTGCCAGTCTGTTATGTGAAGTGATAACACACATTTCCTCAATGTAGGGATACATTCGTCTTTTTTTTTACAAGTAATTTTCTGAAATATTTTTCAAACAGCAGGCCAATACGTGACTCTCATAAAGTATGTATGAATACACAGCAGGCCTGCACTGGATTTAAGGAAAGCACCTACGTGCAGAGAAATGGTTTTATTACAAAGCCTGTTGATATCTGTCATGGCCACTGTCTTGTGCTGCTTATCCGATATGCCCATTCTCTAGCAGTCTTATTCATATTCATGCTTTTCGTTTGATGACCTTTGATAGCAGCTTGCTCCCAGTGGTTTGTGTTCGTATGAATTAACTCTGGCTCTGTAATTATAATAAGTATTTTTCTGTCTACACAACTTTTGTTTTCTGCCATTGTCTTATTTTACAACATGTTTCAGTCAGCTATGTCCATTTTCAGGTGGTACGTAAAACGTTAAATTGAACTGTGTGACTTTTTATATGTGTGACATTTGATTAAAATATATAAAGTAAAATTAAAATTATTAAAAAATAGTAACATCCATTCATCAACATCTTACATGCTGAATATTATGTTAATAATAATTGGGATAAACGATGAATGCTGCAAACATATCATTCACTAACTCCTATAGGAATCCTTATAGGACGTCGTTTACATATTGGTAATTTTGCAGCGATGAAATTAATAGTGACTGGTGTTTTGAATGTTTCAAATTTTTTGTTGGTTTAATTTAAATTTATGTCAGTGGTTGTTCTCCTCCTCCTGAGTGCTTATTCTGATTACGAATGGTAAAGACGATCTCTGTTGATGTGAATTAACCAGGAGCTGTAATGAACTT